GGGCACCGCAGGAGAGTCCAAACGTGGACTGTTTTATTAAATTCTCTCCACACCCCCGTTCAGCCGACTCTGTTACCTTCTTACTTTACAGTTGAGGAAACGGGTCAAGACATTTGCCCAAGTGTACCCAGCACAGACAGGAAACGCTGAGTGTGAACCAGCCTGTGACTTCGGGACCCTCATGCGGCCCCGGCTGTCCCACCGGAGACTCCCGGAAGCTGAGGTGGTGAGCCGGGACGGGGGGACACCTTCGAGATAAGCTGGAACCGCAGTTCTTTCCTCAGAATTCAGGGGATCCGTGGACTTGGATCAGTTTCATCTGGCGTTGTGTCGAGTCTCTAACCAAAATTTAGCCTTCCCTTTAACCATGAATGTGGGCACCTCCCGGGGCGTCAGCCGTGCCTGTGCCGTTGACACCGACAGAACTGCCCCAGGGCCACTTCTGTGGGCCCCAAGCAGCCATGCCTTGGGAGGGTTCGGGCACCACGAAACACCCCCCTCACCTTCCACTCACCACCGCGTCTCAGAATGCAGTTCCCACACCTCGCCACTTTAAATCACGGCTGAATGAAAAGCACAGCGCTCACTACACCAGAATGTTCTAAGAGGGTGGTAACTCTATTTTGGTAAAATGGGTTTCCTTCATAATTCTGTGAACTTATTTATTTATTAGATGCCCAAGGAGTCCACACACCAGGAGGGTGAAGACCGATTCCAGTTCCGTGCTGTCATTGGGGTCTCTCCGGCCCGCGCCTCGGCTTGGACTCCCCGGGCAGACCTGCTCTCTCTGGGGGTGGCAGGCGCGCCCAGTAACTGCAGTCTCAGAGCCCTAGAATCCTGCATCACTTCGTACCAGGTTTCCCCAAATCACCCCAGCCCTCCGGCCGTGGCACCTTCTCCGTGGTTCTGGGTTTGCTCAGCCGTGCCCTGAGCTGGGGAGTGGCTGGGCGTCGAGTGGCTGTGGGCCTCTTCGCCTGCACTGTCTTGAACACCCGGGGCAGGTTTTTTCCTGCCTCCGCCCCCGGCCCCCACTCCCTCTGTGGCTCACCTCAACTGTCCACACCTTATTGAGGACCAGAAAGCCGGGGCAAGGCATGGCCAGTCAGGTTCACCCACACATGTCACTGCTCAGCCTCCTCTGGGGCCGCCTTGCGACTTCCATTCCTCTCTCCAGGCTTTGCGAGTAGGGATGGCACCCTTGTGGGCCTCCTCCCTCCTCTGTAAAGTGGGCTGGCATGAGACTTACATAAAACCATATTACCACTTATTCATTGATCCACCTATCCACCCACCCACTCCTCCACCCATCCATCCACCCCTCCACCCACCCATCCCCATCCACCCACTCACCTATTCACCATGTATCTACCCATCCACCTACCCACCCATTCACCCATCCATTCACCTACCTACCCATTCACCAATCCACCCATCCACCCATCCACCCACCCATCCACCCACTCATCCATCCACCCATTCACCGATCCACCTGTCTATCCACCCATCCATCCACTCATCTATCCACCCATCCACCCACTCATCCATCCACCCATCCACCTACCCACCCATTCACCCATCCATTCACCTACCTACCCATTCACCAATCCACCCATCTATCTACCCATCCACCCACCCATCCATCCACCCATTCACCCATCCACCTGTCTATCCACCCATCCATCCACTCATCTATCCACCCATCCACCCACTCATCCATCCACCCATCCACCTACCCACCCATTCACCAATCCACCCATCTATCCACCCATCCACCCACCCAT